AAACGTTTCGCTTTTGCTTTCTTTTCGGGATCCGTCATTTCTTCAACCATCTCCTCGATTTTCTGCGAGATCGCCTCGTTAGTCGCGCCGCCGTCTTTCATCTCCTTGATGACCTTCATTTTGTCCTCACCCATCAGTTCCTTTCCATAGTGCTTACAAGCCGCTTTCAGCTCCTCGCTAGCCTTGGCTTTCACTTCTCCACTTGCAGCCTCGAACATCGTCATGATCTCTTTGTAGAATGCTTCTCGATCACCACTCTCATACGTTGCTTTGACCTTCTGCTTCTGATCGTCGGTCAACCACGTCAGGAACTTTTGCATGCCTTCCTCGATGTCAGGCTGCTGGTCTCTCCTGAAACGACGCACTACGCCGAAAATACGCTTGCATGCAGCTGAGGCCTTCTTAGCCCTTGTTCTTGCGCCTTCGTCGGTCAGCTCATCGATGGCTTCTTCTATTTTTTCCGCAATTTTTTCTGCTGGCGTACCGCTTTCCCTCATAGCACGATATTCGGCCGCCTTCTCAGCTCCCAGGAGTTTTTCGATGAAATGTTTGCAAGCGCCCTTCAGTTCTTCTGCGGCCTTGTCTTTCGTCTCACCACTGGTACCTTCGAAGTACTCCATGACCTTCTTATAGATGGTTTCCTTATCACCGCTCTCTTTGAGTGACTTCAGTTCCGCTTTCTGATCATCGCTTAGCCAGGTGAGATATTTGTCTAGTGCTTCTTCGAGAGTGACAGGGTGTTGCTCGTCCCTCCTGAAACGACGTACTACGCCGAAAATACGCTTGCATGCTGCGGACGCCTTCTTGGCCCTCGTCTTGGCGCCCTCATCGGTCAGCTCATCGATGGCTTCTTCTATTTTTTCCGCAATTTTTTCTGGTGGCGTTCCGCTTTCCCTCATAGTTCGGAATTCGGCGGCCTTCTCAGCTCCCAGAATCTCCTTGATATAATGTTTACAAGCGGACTTGAGCTCCTCTGCGGCCTTTTCCTTTCTTCTCACCACTGGTACCTTCGAAGTACTCCATGACCTTCTTATAGATGGTTTCCTTATCACCGCTTTCTTTGAGTGACTTCAGTTCCGCTTTCTGGTCATCGCTTAGCCAGGTGAGGTATTTGTCCAGGCTTCTTCGAGAGTGACAGGGATGTTGCTCGTCCCTCCTGAAACGACGTACTACGCCGAAAATACGCTTGCATGCTGCTGAGGCCTTCTTGGCCCTTGTTCTTGCGCCTTCGTCGGTCAGCTCATCGATGGCTTCTTCTATTTTTTCCGCAATTTTTTCTGGT